AAAAAGACAGCATATGTGGAAAGAGGATTTTGTTCAGAGACCTCCGGTTGCAGTGGTGTACAAATCTCCAGTCGACATATTCTGACCGCTGCTCATTGCGTTGTAGAGGAAAAACCAGATATCAAAGAAAGATGTAAAGAAGTGAAGAAGCACAAAAATTGGTAGGTTTAATCGTTGCTGGAAAGAAAGTGTTTTACGAGTTGATCCATTAGTCAAAATACATATCCACATTCTCAGGAGTCCGGCTGAACTGGCGAACTTTCTCTACACGGAAGTGCCTCCACAAAAATTTACCATCAACATCAGTAGCTCATGTGAAAGGCCAGAACTCTGTGACAACAGTGAAGTTGTATTCAGGATCACAAAACCCGTGAGTTTCAGGATGGAAAACAACTGGTACAGAAGAAAAAAGCTGATTTAGCCCCGTATACACGAAAAGTACTATCCGTGCGATTTGCAATATGACAACGATCTGGCGATTATTGAACTCGACAGTGACATAAAGTCAACAGTAGGTACACCAGTCTGTATGCCACAAAAGAACGAAAAGTTGAGACGAAACCTGATTGCAGCCGGATATGGAGATGATTATCGTAAGTTTATGGCATATACTCAGAATTGATCAATGGTTCGTGGAACGAACTGAGCATATGTAACTGATGGGTTATTACGCTCACAAGTGTTAACCCTTTCCGGACCGCCTGACACACATGGTGTGTCAGGAACTTCAAGAGCTGATTTTTCCAAGAGTTTGGTTTTTCGATAAAATATTTTATGTTGTTACATACCTATGTAACAGACTCATGCCATATGTATGAAAAAACCTAGACTTTAGGTTTAATCTAGGTTCTAAAATAACCAAAGAGTAAATGGACTTCCACTTTGGGCTCAAAGAAAACAGTTGTAGTTCGCTTGAAAACACTTAAAAACGAAGAATTTGTGAAATATCCTGCTCGTCGTATCTGATTCTTATGGATCCAATCGTTTTGGGCACGTTCTACTCCCTTTTTCTCCATACCAACTTATTTTGAACAATTTTCGTCCCTTCCTCCCTTTTTATGGCCCTTTCCCTTTTTTTGCAAAACAGTTTTCTGTCAAATTAATCTTATATATACTTCGAGATATGACAAAGATATAAACGAGACAAAATAATGGCTTT